GCGCGGGGGCCAGCGGGGCCGCCGCCCCGACTCCGGGTAGGCCACCAGCCCCCCCGGGGCCCCCGGCCGGCCCCGCTCCTTGCTGGTGAAGGACCAGCGTGGGGGCACAGCCCTGGGGGGGCCACCGGCCGGCGAGAGCTTGACGCTGAGGCTGCGGCCCTGAACGCCCCGCACCCAGGGTCTGGCCTCGAAGCCACCTGTAATTAGAAAAAAATCATCAGCTGGGAGGAAGCGGGAGCCACCCTGGGGTGCTGGGGCGGGGATGCTCAGCATCACCTTTCTCCGGGGCGGCGGTGGCATCAGGGGTGCTGGGCGGGGAGGGCCGGGTGGCCGAGGCGTCTTGGGCGCTGCCGCCCAGGCGGGCCAGCCAGTGATCCGGGAGCGAGGTGGCCACGGAGCCTGCAGGGAGCGGGAGGCTGGGCTGGGCTGTGGGGTGCCCTGTGCCCACAACCCTGGGTGCTCAGCAACGGGGGAACACGGGGCTGCAACCAGCTGCGTGCGCATCACGTATGTGTGCAGGCACAAGCACATGGCGAGCGTGCGCTGCTGCATGCCACGCGGCTGCAGTTCCAGTGCATGAGTGCGCACTCACCTGCAATGCTGTGCGCACCAGCTGCGCTGTGTGACTGCGTGCCCACCACGCTGTGCACCTGCAGGCACACGTGTGTGCATGTGTGTGCACCCAGCTGAGCTGTGTGACTGCGTGCATCTATCCTTGTTCATACATGTGTGCACGTGGCTGTGCTGTGTGTGCACAACACTGCATGCCGGTGTGCATGGCCTGCACATGCACATGTGCACACTTGGCTAGGCTGTGTGCGTGTGCCTGCTGCTGCACTATCCATGCGTGTCCGTGTGCATGCAAGTCCACTTGGCTGTGCTGTGTGTGCACGTGCTGAATGCACGCGCATTTGGCTCTGCTGCCTCTGCACGTACCATACTGTGTGCACACATGTGCACTCAGCTGTGCCTTGTGACTGTGCACACGCACCTACCACACTGCTCACACATGCGTCTGCAAGCGTGTGCATTTGGCTGCGCTGTGTGTGCACGACACCGTGCCGGTGTGCAGAGGCATGCACACACGTGTGCACCCTTAGCTATGCTGTATGCGTACGTGCCTGCCATACTGTCCATGCCCGGGTGTGCACACGTGTCCACATGCATGTGTGTGTATGCAGCTGTGCGGTGTGCGCACACCATACCACGTGCACATGCGTTAGTGCTCTGTGTCTGTGCACATGTGCTGGACACATGCGCATTTGGCTCTGCTGCATGTGCATCTACCACGCTGTGCGCCCGTGTGTGCCCTCAGCCGTGCCATGCGTGCCCGTGGCAGTGGCCTTGGGGCGCCCGGGCGCTGTCGGGGCGCAGGCGGGCAGGGAGGTGGGGGTGCTCACCCCTGACGGTGCTGCCGGCCGACCAGGCGGGCACGGCGTTGCGGCGCTGGTAGAAGAGGATGTAGGCGCTGCGGGTGCTCACCTCCGCCTCCTGCACCCCCTCCACCCGGCTGTCGTCATAGCTGTACCACCGCCCGTCC